AAGAAAGAAAGAAAGAAAGAAAGAAAGAAAGAAAGAAAAAGATGTATTAAGGAGAAAACAGCCAGGGGCACCTGGGTGTCTCAGTCGGTTAAGCATCCAACTTTGGATCGGGGCATGATCTCACTGTTTGTGGGTTCGAGCCCCGCATCAGATTCTCTGCTGTCAGCACAGAGTCTGCTTCAGATCCTTTGTCCCACTCTCTCTGCTCCTACCCCACCCCCCTCAAAAATAAATAAACATTTAAAAAAGGAGGAAAGAAACAACCATACAGTATATTTATTATTCTGAGCTGCCTTAGAATTCCAGAGAATGAGGTACAGCATTTTTTGTTTTTTTGGTTTTTTTGGTTTTTTTACTGAGAAGTGGGATTCGGCTGATGTTTCGTAGGTATTTCCCAAGCTAAGCCAGTGTGTTGATTCAGGTGATCGGCATTATTACATCAGCCTCTTCTAGAAGTTTCAACTTTGGCATGAGTCTCTTCAAGGGAAATGTATACCCACAAAGAATTGTCTGTGGAGGGGAAGGAAGTCAATGAAGAAACCTGCTGTTGCAGATAATTCTTCCTCTTCACTGCTGTAAGATATTAGAATATATGTTAATCTCTGCCCCTGGTTCCCGGCATAGAGTTCCTGAAACCATTGTAATTTCCTGGGTGATGGCAGTGTCTTTTGTTCTCATGAGGTGACTCTGAGTGGGCTTGGGGATGGCCCCTGGATGAGAGCTGGTCACCAGAAAGAACACGCCATGATTGGAAGCTTGGAATTTTCTCTCAAGAAGGGAGAAGGGTTGAAACATTAACTCCAGAGTTCATTATTGATCGTGCCTACATGAGGAAGCCTCCATAAAAAATCCCAATAATATAGTATCGGGAGAGCTTCTGGGTTGGTGAACGCATCCACGTGGTGGGAGGGTGACACCCCAGCTCCACTGGGGCTGAAGCTTCTGGATTGGGACCCTCCCAGACCTCTCCCCATGTACCTTTTCATTTGGCTGTTCATCTGTTTCCCTGACCATATCCTTCAATGAGCTGCTAAGTGTGAGAAGGTGTTTCCCAGAGTTTTGAAGGCCCTTCTAGCAAATGAATCAAACCTGAGGAGGGGGTCATGGGACCTTGGATTTGTAGCCCAGTCAGACAACAGTTGTGGCTCACCTGGGGACCTACTCTCTACAAGTGACATCTGAAATAGGGTGGGAGCGGTCTTGTGGGACGGAGCCCTGACTCTGTGGGATCTGACAATGTCTCCAGGTTGATAAAGTCAGAAGGGAGTCAAATTGTAGGACACCCAGCCGGTGTCACGGAGAATTTCTTGGCATGGGGAAAACCACACACACCTTTGGTGACCAGAAGTGTCAGAAGTGTTGTGAACGTGGCAGTTGTATGAGAACAAGGAAGACACACAGGAGAAAATCATAGAGGGAAGAATGCGATTATTCCTACACACCTACCAGTGGACCTACGGGCTGGCCAGCACTGCCCAGGTCGTGGCCCAGCCAGCGCTTGTTTGCAAACGGAAAGTTGTAGCCTTGGGGCTCCTGGGTGACTCAGTCAGTTAAGCGTCCGACTTCGGCTCAGGTCGTGATCTCACGGTTCGCAAGTTCGAGCCCCGCGTCGGGCTCTGCGCCGACAGCTCGGAGCCTGGAGCCTGCTTTGCGTCCTGTGTCTCCCTCTCTTCTCTGCCCCTCCCCGCTCTGTCTCTCTCTGTCTTTCAAAAATAAATAAACATTAAAAATTAAAAAATAAATAAATAAATGCTTTTAACTTGTAGAATATGTACCATAAAATTGTCTTGATTGTATGATTTCCCTCATGAAACATCACGAACTGGGGTCTGAAGGGAACTCTTGTTGGTTCTTGTGCGGTGAACAGTTTCATGATTTCTGGTCCGGAAAAGGTATGACGTGGTAGCTTGGCTTGGGCTAAGTAACGTGGCTGTAAGGGAGGCTGGGAATTTGCATTTCCTGGAAGGTTGAGTATTCACAGGGCTGAACATTACCCAGATATACCAAGGGCATTCAAAAGGTCGAGTCAGAAAACAAGAGACACGTATGTTGGTTAAGAGGAGGGAGGGATATGGCTTAGGCCAACGTCTCAATAAATGGTGCCTATTCTTATCAGTGTGAGCACAACTCCCAGTTAACCGCTGGTGCTTGTCGTGACTCCTCAGATGCCTCATGTGAGGCCTCCTGGCTGCACTCAGCTTATTTATGGCAGTCACCTCCTAGTCTGAGCCTGCTGGTGACCTACGCTCCTGTCCAAACTGCCAGGTTTTTCCTGGAAGTCTCCAGGACCCTGATGGCAAATTTAAACACAAAAGGTGGGGCGCCTGGGTGGCGCAGTCGGTTAAGCGTCCGACTTCAGCCAGGTCACGATCTCGCGGTCCGTGAGTTCGAGCCCCGCGTCGGGCTCTGGGCTGATGGCTCTGAGCCTGGAGCCTGCTTCCGATTCTGTGTCTCCCTCTCTCTCTGCCCCTCCCCCGTTCATGCTCTGTCTCTCTCTGTCCCAAAAATAAATAAACGTTGAAAAAAAAAATTTTTTTTTTAAAATAAATAAACACAAAAGGTTACTGATACAATCTTAATCCCTCTGGAAAACAGGGAGAGGTTTGAGTTTCTCTAAATTACAAAACGGGAGAAGGTTCATTACACAAACCCTGGCCTGGAACCCATGAAGAAATCTCCAACCCACCCCTTCCAGTTCCCACTGGAACCTTCCCAAAGCCCTGGGCCCTAACCCTGGAGTCGTTGGGGCTTTTTCAGGGGACTCACCAGGGTCAGGGATATTAGAGCATTGGCATGCACCTAAAAAGAGGAGTATCTTCTCTTTTTGAAAAGGTTAAAAGGAGGGGCGCCTGGATGGCTCAGTCGGTTAAAAGTCTGATTCTTAATTTTGGCTCGGGTCATGATCTCACGGTTTCGTGAGTTCCAGACCCACATCGGGCTCTGTGCTGATAGCATGGATCCTGCTTGGGACCCTTCCTTTCTCTCTGTCCTTCCCTCCACTTGCATTCTCTCTGTCTCTTAAAATAAATAAATTAAAACTTAGAAAAGAAAGAAAGAAAGAAAGAAAGAAAGAAAGAAAGAAAGAAAGAAAAGGTTAAAAAGAGCCATAAACAGGCACCCGGGTAGTGCAGTCAGCTGAGTGTGTCTGACTCTTATCTCAGCTCAGATCTTTATCTTGAGATCATGAGTTCAAGCCACAAGTAGGGCTCCATGCTGGGCATGAAGCCTACTTAAAACAAAAAACAAAACAAAACAAAAAAACCCGGGAGGGGCACCTGGGTGGCTCGCTTGGTTAAGTATCTGACTCTTGATTTCTGCTCAGGTCATGATCTCACAGTTTTGTGAGTTCGAACCCCACTTTGGGCTCTGGGCTGACCCTGCCGAGCCTGCTTGGGATTCTTTCTCTCCCTCCCTCTCTCTGCCCCTCCCCTGCTCATGTTCTCTCTGTCTGTCTCAAAATAAACTTTAAAAAAATTATTTAAAAAAAAAAAAAGGAAGTGAAAAATTTCCTCCTCTCTCTGCCTACTCTCTCTTCTCTTGGCCAAATTTCTAGATATTACCCATCCCGTTTTACAGAGGCATGGAATGCATAATGTACTTTGTGACAGTTATTCTTGCAAGGGTCCCTCAGAAAAGGCAGTAAAGGAGAAGAGAGTGTGCATTTTCAGAATGAGGTTTTATGGGGCCCCATGGGAAGGGGGAGCCAGAAATGCAAGTTTGCAGGAAGAGGAAAGGGGACCCCGTGACGGACACAGTGAGAAGACAGGCTCCAGTCACTAGACCCTTGAGGTAAATTTGTCCTTTTACTTCTATGCCAATCCCTCTGACCTTGCTGTTGGCATTTCTTAGAACAGAGGACTCCTAGCGACAAATCAAGGCCCCATTTAGCCATGCTCAGGGCCTACTCTGTGCTCAGAACTCTTGCTGCTCTGTCTGAATCTATGGGGGGACACTCACCCCCCTGCACATTGGAGGCAACCATCTCAGCGAAGGTCAAGGCTCACACGAGCTGGTAAGGAACAGAAGAAGGTGGGAGGGAGGGGCAACAAAGCTCTCAGCAAGTGTGAGTTCCAGCAAGAGATCGAGTTTTAGAATTTGGGGTACAGGCGGTGGGGGGAAGAGGTGAGAGGCGAAGGAAGGGGGGCAGGTGGCGTCAGATGAGAAGGAGTGCGTGGGGACCCTCAGGAAGTATATCATCAAAGACGCACGGATGGACGAGCAGGGCCTTGTCGGGCGGGGAGCCGCAGAAAGCATGATCAGGCAGCCAGAGCCAGGCCTGGTGACAGGTGGACTGACATGGCAGGTGAGCAGTTTGGCGTGAGGTACAAGGGGCTTTGAAGCTAAGCAGGACGGGCCAAGAGCCCTCCCACCACCTGGTGGCTGTGCGACTTGGGGGTATGATCAGTCAGGTTTGGGTAGGCGAAGTAGAAGCACCGTGTGTGTGTGTGTGTGTGTGTGTGTGTGTGTGTGTG